TTTGCTCCCTTCTTCCCCACAAGATCTTTCAGGTTTTTAGATTTCCTTTGATCTCAGGCTTAGCCTTAGGAAGACTATCTGCTTCCACGCAAATTGAGTCAGCAATTGATACCTTAATTCCTTTGAAGAAACAGACCTAGAAGCCAATTCATCTGTAACATTTCATGCTTGGTTTCTAAATACATCTCCATAATCTCCCTCTATCTCCGTTCTTCTCAGGCAGGTATCAACACTATATTTCAATGGAGAGAGTCACTACTGCAAACTGAAAGAGTTCACTCTGGAATATTGAATCTCTTCTGCATAATGAGTTCTCAGCTACCACAGAGATTTCTCAAAATCAGCAGTTTGAATTATTGCTTAACACACTTTTTCCGTACTGGCAATTTCACATGAACTAGATTTCAAGACCCTTTATGCACAGTCTGCTAAGCTTTAGGCTGGATGAATTTTGAATGTTAGACAATTTCTTTTTTAACGAGATACTATATGTAACTGCTTTAGCTGTAAAATAACAGCCCAAACCCCTGAACAGCTTTCCTATGTATAAGAGACTAGAGCAACTACAGCATTTTGCCAATTTGAAAGGATCTAATGAGAGAAATAATTTTGTTTTTTCCAAACAAAAATAATCTATGGTGCTCTGCTTTGTGTAGTTCAGCCTTTCTTTTTAATAAAATCTATTAATTAGCAGTGAAATACTAAATTTCCAGAAATTCTATTCCTCAGTGTTCTTGCCTAGAAACAACACTGATGCTCAGGGTTAACTGATTAGTATTTAATGGTAGACTAGCCAATGTTTAATACAAGAACCCATTAATTCTCACAGTAAAACAAAATTATGCCATCACAGAGAGGCACACAGATATGAAATGCATAAAAAAATCAGCTATTCCTGCAGCATACCAGACAAACATCTCTAAATTTAAGAGACATTATAAATGTAAGCAGCACATGTAAACTCATTTTCCTTATGTATCTTTATGAAACTATGTAAATGTACATAAATACTTTTAAAGAGCACCAGTGCAATATATTTAATTTATGCAGGGGAATGAGGAACAGCTCTGGTGCTGACAGTCACTTCTGTGTCTATTAACTATTCATAAAAAACTCAATAGCATTGATAGAGCCTTTGAAGCAACAGTAAAGGTTTCACAAAGCTTTTGCCATATTAAACATAAAATGTGAAATTCATGTTTACAGCTAGCACTGCTCATTAGTCAAGCAGTGAGTTTTTCATGCTGAAAGCAGCAGCTACCCGAAGCCACAAAATACAGATATTTTTTTTCTTCCATAGTCCTAATGAAACAGGTAAATGGATCCCACATTTCATAAGAACTAAAATGGATTTACATCTTGTATTAAAACCAAAATTTTGTTTGAATTAAAGTAGAAATAATCTGAAATTACCAACTTATGTATTTATTAATGGTTTAAAGTGTTATTAACATAAGTAACATATTGCCATTTCACTGAACAAGTTTCTTTAAAAAGCAGTTTCTCCAAGTTTACATCACACCAATCTTTGGTTTCTCCTCCCTTTACTTTTATTCAAGCAAAATCCCATGCAAAATAATTTTAACATGTATCCGAATCTTCCATGAACTTATGAACTGGGATGATTTTAGAGACTTAATCCTTAGAAGCCAAGTTTAATGATGGAAGAAAATACACTGTCATTTATAAACAATAGCAGGGATTTTAATTCTCTCTCACAGATAAGAAGCATTAAGTACCAGATGTTTCAGAAGGCAAAGGCCTTATCCTGCTCCTATGGAATTTGTAGTTTCTGTGCAGGGGAAGCAAACAGCAGTCTCAATAGTCAAGAATAACATGAATCACTCAGTTTCTCAAAATCACTGTACTCATTAACAGGTAAAACTTAAGTTCTGAAGGTGCTGAAAGTTTATTTTCTAGTAAAATTTAACACTGGCTGGGAGAAACTGCTTATTGAACAGGTCCCAAAAAGGTTAATGGAGATTTTTAGAGGTAATAACTTCTGAAAGTGTCAACTAATACAATTTCATCTGGACTCCAACTGGAATTCTTGTTTTTGGCACTCTTTTACATTGTTTGAATTCTCAACAAGTTCACTGCTTCATTTTGATTCTTAGGGCACAGATACTAAGAAATCAAAGAGCGAGCTGTAATTAAAAAAACATGTAATATATATTTGGCTTGTACTTGTTGCTAGGTTACTGAAGCCCAGTTATGACTACAAGACTGTTATAGATTTGTAGCTGCATTTCTGACACAGCAATGTGACATCAATTATAGCAATAAAGACAATTATTAAAGTTAGAAATTAGAGCTTCTTTCAGTAGGGGTGAAGTAACTTGGGTGCTCCAGCAGCTTTCCAATTCACAGAATGCATTGAGTCAAGCAGCTTTCACTGATGCTTTCAAGTTCTCTTGTTAAGATTTCAGAACTTCAGGAAACTTAAACACAATGAGTTCAACCACTGCTGAACTGGAAAGAGACCATCCAAGTGACCATCTTCAGCTGATAAAATCTCATGGGTTACAGAACAAGTAGGGTAGGTTGGTCATCTGTCAAATCATAACTACACCTCTGATCCAGGGTACTCAAATGCAAAGTCAAATACTTGCAAGCAGAAAGTGTGTAACACCATACTAATGTGCCTAAGGTTTTCATGGTAGTATCTGACAAGAATCCCAGATTATTTCAGTGATCAAAGTTTTCCCAGGTACAGAAAAGCACAAGCACACACTGTAAAGTTTAATTGTTAATATTCAACACACTCTGTAAAGAGTCATCTTTTTCTAGATACCCAAAAGGCTTCTTGCTCTTCAGTGTATTATAAGCAAAATTGGTTGAGTCTCCCCACTTCCCCAGGTGCCAATCCTCAAATATAGTTTCCCGAGCCAATTTAATCTCACAGAAACTGATCTTTGCTTTTACCAAAACAAGAAGCAAAGGGAGTATTACATCAGTTCGACTGCTATATTGCAACCCCCTCCAGTGAGGAATAAATATAGTTCACGCTGAGGCAGACAGATGTTGAGGTTGATAAAGGTAAACAGAAACATGTAAGAGGTAATTAACAAAGAGGCCAGATAAGTCACCCGTGAATAACTTAACCCTTTAGTGAATCCAACATTGTTTTTAGCCCTGCTGAGGGCACAGGAGCCAAGCAGAAAGCTTTCAATTAGTTTCCAAAGCACTGACATTTGTAACTGCTACCTCAATTTCTTATCTCTGTGCCTTGGAACATCATTGCTACATCCCCACAGACCCTTACATCACTTTGTCAATGTGCAACTTTTCTAGATGTGGGAACCCTCTTCCTCCATTCCCCCAAATCCCAATGTTATTTTGATCACTGGAGTTAGGGAAGGAAGGGAAGAGATATTTCTCAATTATCTGGAGGAAACAGCTAGAAAAGCTCACAAAAGAAATGTAAACTGGAAAACGGGTCAGTAATTACGAGGATGGTTTATTTATGCTGTCTGACCTTACCCTGTAGTAAGGTAAAGTCAGCTTAGCCAGCCATACATTTTAATCATCCAAATGCTAGCACAAACAAAGCAAACAAAAACGTACAGGTCACTCCAAAACCAGGGATCTTTTCCATGCAAAGCAGGATGCAAGTTTTTGAGTTTATGGTAGAAAGTTATTGAATCAATGCTGCCAGTAGAAGGGACTGAAGTCTCTAAATCTCAACTTACCCAAAAGGCAAAACCTCAGAACAATTTACAAATGTTAGAAACATTCCTAGATTAAGCTGCATGTATTTTATTTAGCAAGTCAGGTTGATCAGAAAAGCTCTTTTTTTGGACCTTTTTAGAATCTGTTTTAACTATGCAAACAATAGATCCAAGGAGACCATCTGATGAGCTCTGAAAATTAAAGTTTTCAGGAAAACATAGAGGCTTAACTCATCAGCATCTCCCATGGAAATAACTGCACTGATTATTCACTCCATTCACTCAAAATAAACCAACTAGCAATTTCACATGAAAACACATTTTTAACTGCAGCAAGACTGCATGAAAGTACTTGTACATCACATGCTCACAAGTTCAATCCAAAATGCCTTTTTCTCATGTCAAACAAACAACCCCCCCAATGTGTTTCATTCGAGATGCTAACCTGGAAATTTTTAAACAATGTTGTAAACAGTATTCATTGAACATTATTATTGGTTGAGTGCTTCTGTTTGGCCACAGCTGAGCAAGCTGTAAGGCACACCTGCACAGGTAAGCCAAAGCAAACATATCATATACAAATATATAGACAATTATACAGTGCACACACATGGTTGGTTTACTCCCCACTCAGTCTGGCATTTCCATTCCGTGTCGTGTAATATTTTCTGATATATGATTGACAAGTTTCTGTATTTGATAAAGGCAATATCAGATACTCTTAATTATGTAAACAGTTTATTTGAAACCTAATGACAATACTCACCATGAAATTTAACACTGACTACCCCTATTCTAAACCACACCACTCCCCTCATTATCATCTAAGGCTATTGACATCATACTTTATTCATATGTATTCACATACTGTAAACTGCACATTAATCACACAAGAAAAGACTCTCTAGTGGTTAGAAATAAATGCAGTAGTCCACTGGAAAAAACAATTTATCTGTTTAGATATTGTAAAGTAAACCCGAAGCATTTCTCTGTAAATTAAAAAAATGTTTCACTGCAATCCTTTATAGCCTAATATTGTTTCTAGTTTCTAGGACACTTACCTTGTAGTAGAGAATTTTAGAATTAAAATCAGGTTACATTTTTTACAGAGGGAAGCAATATTAGACAGAAGATGAATGCATGTAGAAATCCTTCCCATTTAAACATGATCACACAGTTGAATCTGCTACAGGCACTAAGGAAAACAACCAAAATCCTTTTTACCTTGTGTACCTTTAGTTGGCAGATGCATCTTCCCTCTTTGCCTGGCTTCAATCAATGCAAAAAATATATAGAAAGCTTTGACTTACAGAAATGAGAATTACTTACCAATTTGTAACAATACAGGTGTTACCAAAGCTGTCTCCATGGCATAACAAAATTCCCTGCCAAACATTACTGCACCGTGCATCACCCACAGGCGTATCGGTATCCGGTCTATGGATCCTTCACTAATGGTCTCCTCCCTACTTTCATTCTCCTTGTTTTCTGGTTTCTGAAGCTGTGCCACAGGTAGATCTTGAACTTGCATAGATTCCGAGTCAGCATTCTGAGGAGCCATTTTCATTACCATAAAAAATATATATATTTGTTATATCTATATAAATAATACTACCATAACTCCACGAACAAGTTAGGGTGTCTTCTCTTTCAGCTTCTGTTCCTTGGGCAAGTAATGCTTATATTCCTCTTGTACAAACAGGTATCTTGCAACTTCTTGTATAGATACGAGACATTAAGAATGAAAAGCTATTTGGTAAGAATTTCAACATATGGCTTGCTGGTTTACTGTGAGTTAGAGTTAAAAATCCATAATTGCCATTCAGTTAATACCAGTTTCATAATTATTATTGAAGAAGTGCTGAAGTTGTTATTCGTGCTACACAGAGGTGGAAAGGCGACACAAAGAGGTGCTCCACTGTTAATCCCCATCGAGTGGCTGATTAATCTGCAACAAAAAGCAAGCATTTAAAAATTTCAATAGGCTTTTTCAGGATATTGTGTCCCCCCCCTTAACCATATAACCTATTTCCTGCTTCATGCTTTTCCATTGTCCTTGCCTAGAGTAGGGTCCTTTATTCCACATTCCCTCCTACCTCTGCACTTTCCATTGAAAAGCAGTTGTGCCTTGTATTTAAATGATGCTTTACTGTACTCCAGTTCCTCTGGTTTGTGGTCCTACACAAAGCCACAGAAGAATGTCAGGGTACTTGTCCAAGATCCTCAGAACACCGAGCACAAGATTAAAATTCTGGGAAATTTAAAGCAGGTTGCATTTCAGAAACAGCATAGGATATTCCAGTTCTATGCCAGGAAGATGACTCATCAATTACCATGGTCACACACACATCTCCATTTAGACTTTTGGAAGTAGCAAGTAACTTTTGCAGTTCAATTTTCACAATTTATCACACCATTTTATACTGAAGATATTTCTCAAGGAAGCATAAGCAAAATAAGCCATAATGAATATAACTAAGGATTGATATTTAAATATTTAAACTTAAATGAAGATATACACAGCATGTGAATTCATCTTCTTTCTGCACACAAGACCAGATCATCTTACTCCTACACCCTGTTAGGCTGCTGAAATTAGTGAAAGCAGAATGGCACAGAATCTTCCACATTAAAATTATTAAAATATATTCTAATCAGGTAAAATAATCTTCTTCTGTACCTTCCCCTCCTTTGTGCCATAGACAAAATCTGAGCAGATGTACAAATACTGCACCATGCCAATCAAAATGTGTTTAAGCACTTAGGAGAAGAAAACAAAAGTATCTCATAAGTCAGATTACATAAAGTTGGTTTTAGAAGGATGCATGTTTACATCTCTGCACACAGAGTGACTGAGCTGTGACCCCAGGACAAAATCCCTCAGGGATATGGTTCCATGAAATGCTGGCTCTGGCAGCAAAGCTGGCCTCAGCAGAAGTCCCTACACTGCAATTCCCTTCTCTTCAGCTGTGGCAATAAAAACTTTTTGTGGGCTTGAGCACACACCAGATCATTAAGTGGTGAGCCTAAAACTGAGCCTTAAGAAACAGATGCCATGTTTGGCGTTTAAAGCACATCACAAGAGCAGCTCTGTTTCAGTGGGACCTGAGACACTGTTCTACTAAATGTGCATCCTGAGAACACCATCTTGAGCACTCCCTCCTGCTGACGCAAGAGAGTTGTTTATTGCACATATTTTATTCTTCCATTCAAAAGCATCTTTTTTGGTACACATCTTTTCTTCTTCCAGACTCCCCAAGATAACTGGAATTCTCACATTTGATCACCTCAACAACAAACTAATACTAAAATTTTATTTGAACTGGACAAACCTTTAAATTCCACAAGAAAGTTAAAATAACTTACTCGTAGTTTAAACCAAGTTTTAATGTTTTATCTATAAGCATTAAATAGCTCAGAACAAAAAGGACTTGGAAAGAATTTCTCTACCCACTCAGAATTAACAGATATTAAGATGTAAGTAGTTTATAATAAATGTGAAATACTCTGTGTAATTAAAAACCCCATCCACCTTACATAACACAAGTTCTGAGTGAGTAAAGCCTACAAAATACATGTTCTGGAGTAGGGGCAATTACTTTAATTACAGACTAGTCATAAAATGTTTAACTGCTGGCAGTCTCAGGCATCACGACATTCAGTAGAATTTGAAAGTATACATGTTAGCTCTTATTATCCAAAACTGAGCAGAACATGTATATTGCATTACAGACTAAGGGTCACGGATTACTCTCCTGAACAATCTGGTTTAAAGTCTCTACTGTTTTCTCATGCCTGATTTCCCCTCCTGTGAAGGATTTAATTGTCTTTCCCTAAACACCTCCTTCCATATGCAGTTCCAGGGTGAGGCGCTGAGGAAGGCAGTTCATCACTCCAGAATACTCTGTGTTGCACTGGGGCCGCCTGCACATGGCAAGGAGGATGACACCAAGCCAGGAGCATTTGTCCTGGGAAAGGATAAAGAGGCAGGACAAAAGCAGATATCTGAAATTTAGCCCATTTGAGCAAGACTCTTAAGGGATGACTGAAAAAGTTATTTCTGAAGTGGAAGATGATGGGGAGTGATCAGATAATTTAAGAGCCAGGAATAATGGGTGGTAGATGGAAGTAGACTTTGAAGCCGTAATTGACACGGATAAGAACAGCATATTTTAAACATGCCAGAAAAAGCAGTTACAGTGTTCAAGTGCAATAGGAGGAGGCACAATGGACAGGTTTTATCTAAAAGAACAGAGAATTACTGTTCCATTATGTCAATTTTGTGGTAAGCATAATGCTAGACTTCCTGCAGCACTTTCATCTGACTCCAAGTGCACGTCTAACACAAGAGCCAGAGAATAACAAGAGCCTCTCAGAAAGGTCTTCAGTTCTTCCCTAAGCCCTGCTCAGTTTTGTTCATGTCCATTTTAGACTGATATATATTCTGCTTCTTTTTGTCCAAGTTCATTTAGAATTTGGCAAGATTGAATATTGGCATTCTTTCTTCTCAAAGAGGGAGACAAATTAATTTACCTGGTGGAAAAAATATAACAGAGGCTTTTATGCAGCAAAGAACTCCAAAGTAAATGGCACCTGAAGAGAAGCTGGATTAAAATACCAATGCAGAATTCTCTGATGTCTGCATCCAGCATGTTTTCCATGGCTAGTTTTCGAGGGCATTTTCATAACTAACAACAAATAAAGCAGTAGAATGAAGAATTTGATTAATGGAAGAGATTCCTGTTGGGCATTGTACATAGGTTGGGTGTGAAGAGAACTTTAGATACAGAAATATTTCTGATCTTGCTGAGTGTTTATTGGAGGAGGGAACTGTGAAGCTGTCTCTTTGTCAGCTTAACTGCACATATTTTACTCTGACCTTTGGCCATATTTTAGCAATGACAAAAACATATAAAGCAATAGTTAATATTACAACAAAACAGATGAGCAATATAGTCCAAAACCTAATATGTAAGCAAAATTTTATAAAGCTTCTCAAATTGCTTGCAATCTTATCTTTGTTATACTTTTACTACCTACCTTCCACTGAGGCATAATATGACTGTGTTGAACACAAAACATGTTACAGACTAGACAAGTCAATAATCCTGTGCCTCAAATAGGTACTCTTCACAGACACAGCCTGTGAACCATCAAAGAACCAAAGGAAAATCACTGCCTTTCCTCAGGGTTTGCCAAAGAAGAGGAAGTGTTATACAGGTCATTTCTGTAGTCCACAAAATTCTATGGTTTTCTTTTCCCTAGGGAGCACTGTGATGCTTAGGATGCACAAAGAGCCCGTGCTACATAATTATCCAACATGATGCCTAGGGCAAATGACTTCTTTCACACATCTCAGTGTGTTTTTAAGTTCAGGACTTGGGGGTTTGACAAGCAGTGTTCCTGCATTTGTGATGCCACCATCTGGAGGCCAGCAGACTGGGAGCACACCCATCAATACCAAAATAAAATGAGGTTAACAGTGATCCTGCCCAAATCATTTAAGACTGAACAATTTTGGATGCAGGTTTCCAATTCCAAGGAATTGGAATGCACTGTTTGACAAGTAACTAGAATTTCTGAACCTGTGCCAAAGCATATGACTGTAAGTTGTGGAGTACACAGCACATTTCAGGTAGTCACAAATGTATTTTTTTTTTTAGCTGTAATAAAGCTGGCAAGTAGAAAATTGTTAAATGGTCCAACTGGATACCATGAGAAGATTTCAAATCTTTTGGGAGGTTTTCCTCCTATAAAGTCATTGGGCAGTCCCTCAGGCATTTACTGGTGTAAGAAATAATCTCAGATGAGGTGGTACGCACTAATTAAAAAAACCCAAGACAGTGAGAAAAATAAGCACAGCCTATGAAAAACTGGAATGAGCAAACTGAAGACGATGGAAACACTGCTGTCCAACACTACTGAATATCTATGGAAAAAAGGAGATGATTGAACAGAGAAACTACCCCTTATCTCATCCTCTTCTTTGAAGTTTATTGCATTAACTTCCAGTCATTCATGTAGTTATCTTCTGTCTTCAAGATCTGGCTCTTCCATTATCATGAATCTCTTTTACATGCAAGGATACAGACTGACCAAAGCTGTCTCAAATAATGAGGATCTGCATTCAGTTTTGCTCACAGGAATTATTTTTTAATGATGTTGGAAATACTCTAACTCAAAGATTCTATGGTTTAAAAGAATTTTACCTTCTTGATAAGGAAAGGAAGGATGAAGTGACACCTTGAACCGTCATTGCATACAATGACTTTTCATTTATCACTACCTTCATAAGGGAAAATAGCTAAGAATCAATTTATCAGTCATTACAGAATTTAAATAGACTTTAATAATTCTGGTCACAGTTGTCATTGTCACATTAGGACCTATCAGTGATCCATTCTGCTCAACACATTATATAGCCCCAAACAACAACAACAAAAATAATCCAAGTATGTGTACTTCTTCATTAAATATTCAAATGTTTACTTGGAAAAAAAGCGTAAGACTGCACAAACTGCCAGTCGAATAGGTGAGGATTTTTGTTCCTCCCAGAGCCTTACAACTTATCCTCCTCCAATGCTTCAATGAGTGCATCCCACAGACATCCATGCTAGCAACCACACTATTTCACCTGTGAATCATGTCAGATTGACAAGCCTGTAAGTGCCCAGTCATTCCATTTATTTGCCAAATACTTCTCTGCCAAGTTGGTTTATGCTCAGGTTTTCAAGTAATCTGGCCATATCTTGAAGAGTTATCTAGATTGATTTAAGTTTAGCTTTAATATTAGCATTAGCAAGAAAGACATTCTGAGTTTATCTGTCTTTTCTTCAGGCTGAATAAGTGTTTGGCTGAGCACTTCTACCACCATGTTGCAGACAAACATAACTTATTATTCTTTCTACAATTCAATGCAAAGTGGGCAATGGGTTCTGCATTGGCATC